GCCGGTTGAGCTATAGGCGCCGAGCCAAGGAAGTCTTTTTCAAAGGCTAATCAATGATTTCTGTTTTTTCCTGCAGGAAAATATGTTGTGTTCTTCTTTTACCCTCTTGACTTCACCTTTGTTTGCCCCACGGAGATCATTGCTTTCAGTGATAGGGCAGAAGAATTTAAGAAACTTAACTGCCAAGTGATTGGTGCTTCTGTGGATTCTCACTTCTGTCACCTGGCGTGGTAAATCCTTTGGTCTATTTGGCATGTGAGCTTTTTGCAGTTACTGGGAGGTTTTGGTAATAGGCTTTACTGGTGCCTGGCTCCTCATGGAAGTAGTGCAAAGCTTTGACATTCTCTTGTTGCTCTCTGATTACCTGGCAACAAAGGAGAAGCAGACTGAGTTACAATTGAGTATATCCTGGGGACCTACCTTAACTGCTCTGAGTCATTTGCTTTACTGCTGGAAAAATTTTAAAGTTTTTTTGAGAGTTAGATTAGGAATTCAGGGAAGGGAAAGGAGGAATAGGTGTAGTTAATGTTCTTGAATGAATATGGTTGTATATGTCTGTGTTCTTTTGTTGTAGGATCAACACACCTAAGAAACAGGGAGGACTGGGACCCATGAACATTCCTTTGGTGTCAGACCCCAAGCGCACCATTGCTCAGGATTATGGTGTCTTAAAGGCTGATGAAGGCATCTCATTCAGGTATGTAATCAGAATTATCCAACAGGGGCTAAGTGTGATGGTTCTTGTCTGTAATCCTGGTACTTTGGGAGGCCAAAGAGGGAAGATTGCTTGAGGCTAGAAGCTAAAAAAGACCAACCTGAGCAAGAACAAGATCCTGTCTATGCAGCAAAATTGAAAAATTAGCCAGGGGTGGTGGTGCATGTCTTTAATAGTTCTATCTACTTGGGAGTCTGAGGCAGGAGGACTTCTTGAGCCCAGGAGTTTGAGGTTGCATTGAGCTATGGGGATGTCACTGCACTCCAGCCTAGGTGAGCTGGAGAGCAAGACCTTATCTCCAAAAAAAAAAATTATTCAGGGCTCGGTGCCTGTGGCTCAAGTGGCTAAGTCCCCAGCCACATACACTTATGGTGGTGGGTTCGAATCCATCCCGGGCCTGCCAAACAACAATGACAGCTGCACCCAAAAAATAGCCAGGCGTTGAGGTGGGTACCTGTGGTCCCAGCTACGTGGGAGGCAGAGGCAGGAGACTCGCTTGAGCCCAGGAGTTGGAGGTTGCTATAAGCTGTGATGCTACAGCACTCTACCCAGGGGAATAGCTTGAGGCTCTGTCTCAAAAAAAAAAAAAAAAAAATTTCAGTTGGCTCTTAGCCATTTATTTGAATAAGGCTAACAGCCCTGATCTATAGAGTGTCCTTCATTTCCTTATTTTTATTTCTTTTTCTTTTTTTGAGACAGAGTCTTACTACGTCACCCTCGGTGGCAGCGTCAGAGCTCACAGCAACCTCCAACTCTTGGACTTAAGAGATTCTCTTGCCTCAGCCTCCCAAGTGGCTGGGACTACAGGCACCCACCTTAATGCCCAGCTATGTTTTTTTTGTTGTTGTAGTTGTTTTAGCAGACCCAGGCTGGGTTCAAACCCACCAACCCTGGTATATGTGGCCAGAGCCCTAACCACTGAGCTATGGGCACTGAGTCCCTTATTTTTCATTATTTTATGCAAGACTCACTAAAAGCAAAGCCAGTTTTAGAGATCAGGCCATTTCTGTAGTGCTTCAGGTGTCTGTCATTCTAGCAAAGCGGATTTCTAAATCTGTACTACTTCTTTCTCCTTTGATTTTTCGATCTCTTTATTCCAGGGGCCTCTTTATTATTGATGATAAGGGTACCCTTCGGCAGATCACTGTGAATGACCTCCCTGTTGGTCGCTCTGTGGATGAGACTCTGAGACTGGTTCAGGCCTTCCAGTTCACTGACAAACACGGGGAAGGTAAGTTATCTGCCTGGTAACAGGACAACAAAGTGGTGGTAGGGTGAGAAAGATGGTAGGAGCAGAGTCTACCAAATAGGAATAGAATGAGTATGTGTCTTCAAGAAATTGAAGTCTGGATTACAGTAGGTTGTCGGGGCAGGGGTAGTGGGAAAGTTAGGGGGGAGAAAAATATAAAGACTTTGTTCACACTGTATGTTCACATCTTCTGTTCTCATTTAGAATCACTGCTACAGATCTAACTTACTGGAGTGTAGGAGAATCTCATAGATGTATTATTAGGGCAAAACTAAAACGTTGAGCAACATATCTAGAGGTAAAGCATGCCACTTTTGACAATTTTTTTTTTTTTTAACAATTGTTTATTGGCAGAATAGCTTAATCCCCTGTTCATAGTTGTTTTTCTTGGGGTTTAAAAAAGTAACATGCATGCAACAGGAGTTTGTTCCAGGTGAAGGGTAAAAATAAATAAAATAGGGTGGTGCCTATGGTTCAAAGGAATAGGGCGCTGGCCCCATATGCTGGTGGTGGCGGGTTCATAACCCAGCCCTGGCCAAAAAAACCTGCAATAAATAAATAAATAAATAAATAAAAATATGCGCAGTTTTAAAATATGGAAAATAGGACTAATACAACTTATCCAAAAATAATTTCTGTTACTTAAAAATTTACTCTGGGCTTGGTACCTGTGGCTCAAGCTCACATACACCTGAGCTGGCGTGTTCAAATCCAGCCCAGGCCCGCCAAACAACAATGATGGCTGCAACCAAAAATAGCCGGGAGTTGTGGCAGGCACCTGTAGTCCCAGCTACTTGGGAGGTAGAGGCAGGAGAATTGCTTGAGCCCAGGAGTTAGAAGTTGCTGTGAGCTGTGATACCACGGCACTCTACCCAGAGCGATAGCCTGAGGCTCTGTCTCAAAAACTAAAACAAAAGAAAAATTGATTCTGGACTGGGCACGATGGCTCTCATACCTGTATCCTAGCACTTTGGGAAGCGGAGGTGGGTGGATTGCCTGAACTTAACCGGTTTGATACCAGCCTGAGCAAGAGTGAGACCCTGTCTCTAAAAATAGCCAGGCGTTGTCCAGATACCTGTAGTCCCAGCCACTTGAGAGGCTGAGGCAAGAGAATCACTTGAGTCCAAGACTTTGAGGTGGCTCGGCGCCTATAGCTCAACCGGCTAAGGCGCCAGCCACGTACACCTAAGGTGGCGGGTTCGAATCCCCA